ACCCCTACCCACCACTAGACGACAACGACCACTAGCACTACAACTACTGCGACTTCTCTTGCTTCCGCCACTGCGACTGGCACTACGACTACTGCTGCTTCTGCGACTAATCTGGCTCCAGGAGCTACCACCTCTAATTGAGCCTGAAACCACACCTAAAAGTATTGCCAAGAGCGCAAACTAGATAAACCCTAAACCCTAAACCCCACTCCCTAAACCCTAAAGCCCATACCAAACCCTTGAACGATAAACCGTGCATGCCGTTGGTTTGTGCTCCCGTTGGTCCTACACCCATTCGCCAAAACCCATGAACCTGCTCCTGCCCTCAGTTGGCACCCGACACCCTCTTGGGACCGAGGCCAAGCCATAGGGGCGTGCTTAAACGTTTAAGCCTGGGGATGGGAACCTGAGAATTTCAACCCAAACAGTTTAACGCAAATACCCCTTTGGCTTACTTTTTAGCCGCAGCCATCCGGCTACACCCTATTGCACTACAGGCATGTGCTTGAAAGCCTGGTACCACTTCAGCTCAGCAACTCTCTCCACAGGTTTATGACGACCGAACCAGTCACTAGTATCTAGTAACTCCAAAACCCTCTTAGTATACTCCAAAACCCCTTTAGTAACTTTAGTATACTCCAAAACCCTCTTGAAATGATGAAGGCCCAGATATCGCTTTTTGCCGGTGCGAGCGAGAGCAAGCTCCAGCTCATCCTCTGCGGGGTGTGTCGCCTTAAGGGTTCCCGCAGTAGGCAGCCAGCGAGTGGCGAGCTGCCTCGGACATCCAAGCACGAGTAGCCTGGAGATCTGGGATGCAGTTCCATGTTTCGGAATGTCACAGATGTTATCATAACCTCACCGGATGGGTGAGAGTGATCAAAAGCAGTCGTCACTAAAGTACCTGTTGGGCAGAATGCTGCACTGCCCGGCACAACAGGGAGTCGTGACCGATCACACTGCACCCAACGACTCCAATCGCTCTTCCCGAGATGCTTCGAGAATGTGGCCTCTGCACCCACAGCACATAGAAGCTTTCGCACTTCTAACGCTTAAGGTTGAAATTACGCTGAGGGGATTAGGTAACAGGGCCGCGCCGTACGGCTTGGCCTGCATCTCAGTCTCCTCAAGCTGTACTTGAAAAGGAACAGGAGCTAGCACTCCTTTAAAGAAGGCCAGCGCAATGCTGAGCAAGTCATGGGAGGCGAAGTCACCTGGCCATCATCCTGCCCAAATAAAACACGGCAGAGCTGCAATTGTGGCACGGTCACATGATGACCCTGGACGGAGTAGCTTGTGCCCCACAGAACACATTCAGCCGCTCCACACCGCGCACAATATCTAGGGCTTACACGCCCCGTGGCGAGCACGGAGGAGCTCGATCCGAGGCAGCTTTGAAAGCTTCGCCTTGTTTACCGTTGTGGGGTGTCTGCGAAAGCAAAGGTGCATCGGAACCCAAGGCACAGAGGGCAGACAGCACAGAGCGCCACTCGGGATGCGTCGCGAGAGACAAAGTTGAACCAGGCAGAAATTCTAAATGGCCTGGATTCTTGTCTAGGGTCTAGGGTTTTGGGGATTAGGGTTTAAGTTTAGGGTTCATGGGCTGCAAGAACCAAGCGTCTCAGGTCTGAAGAAAGGAGAGTATGAACACGCCAGCTAACTCGTTTTGTGTAGAAACGCCCGTCCGGTGAGCTGAGGGTATCGCTGCGAATGTACCCTTAGACCTATGTTGCTCCACCTTTCTTCACCACGTTCATTGGCATCTGCACTTAAGCAAGCCACTCGCGTCACCCTCCAGGCAAACACCAGCATCTGCATAGCAAGGAATCCAAACACACCTTTAGCTGTTGGCGGCGTTGATGCCCCTGCATCTTCTGAGGGGAGAAGACAACAAGCCTCGTGGAGAACCGATTCCGGCACTTCTGCGTAGCACGAAACACCAGGACCAGGCGTGCGCGAACGGGCCTCCCAAGCCCAGTTGACGGATGATGTCTCCAGACTGTCAGCCTGCACCCTGCCAGAGTCCCAAGCATCTGCCGGCGCTGCGTCTGAGTGCCCCTCAACCCTACATCACACCAAATCCTAAACCGACCCGAGCCATGGCTGACACGGCCAGCCAAACGGTGCCAGGGCTTTGCTGAGACACCCTGCACTCTCAGTGGCTGCATCCTCTCGGCTAGAGCAGGGAATGACGGGGTTCTACTTCCTCGAAGTCAGGTTGCTATGTTCCAGGATGAACTTTGGCGCAAGTCCACTGACATGCCCGACCGACCCTTGGCGCAGTTTGCCATCTCAAAGGCTGGCTCGTGACAGGGCGCAGTCTCCTGAACTTCCAGGGCTTGGTCTGTTGCCGAAAGGTTGAAAGCCCCGCAGCATGAGCGGCACAGGGCTTGCACTTACGGATTAAGGATGTAGGGTTAAGGGCTCATGTTTGAGAGATGGGGAACGGTGCATCAAGCCGATGAGCACTGGACGTTTCCAGAACATGCTGACGTCTGCATTCGCAGCGACTGCATCTCAATTTGACTGTGATGGAGGGCATGAACCGCAGGCTACACAGCTATGGCCCTATGATTCCTACGATGCCTTGATGCCTGCCCTGGCCCTCTAGCTACGGGTATCCTGGTCCTGGTAGCGGCAAGAGGAAGCGAGCTGGTGCTGCAGCGATCGCAACATCCTCTCAGAAAGGAACACTCCTCACGCAATGGGAGTTTCCGAAAACAAGGGGTACCTTACTTTGGAGTCCTTATAAAAAGGATCCTACTATTTCGGGTACTATATTAGGGTCCCCTATTTTCAGAACCCCCAATCGGATTCCTGAATAAGGCATCTCTTGGTGACGGTAGGCCGGAGGTTCTTGGTCCTTCAAGCCTGCCTCAGCTTCTATGAAGCACGGCACGGACTACCTGGGGGTCCCTAGGAACTTTGGCAGCAGAACACATCTTCTGCGACAGAAACCATCTGCAAAGCATCCATGGCCGCTTGAGCGGAGGTTCTGGGAGCAACCCAGCAAACACCTCAGCCAGCCAGGGAGTGAAGCGCCGCTTTCAACTTACCACTCCGGCTTGTTCTGGATTTGTCAGTGTCGCTCTGCCAAGGCCTGGTAGCCCTCATCCAGCCCCTCAGCGAGAGGCCCTCAGGCAAAGAGGATGTTGCTGACACAACAGTAGACCACTGCTATTGGTCGCCCTCTCCGTCAAAAATGCCCCAAAACGGAATCTGGCCAGGCTTTGGCCCTTGCCAGAAGTTGTCAGTACACCGCTATGACGGCAAGAGTACTGGGGTAAGTCCCTGCATGGCCAAAACAAGAACAGCAGCGAGGCTGCACACCGTGGTCCTGCTCATTTTCCCGCTTGAATGCTGCTCAAGGCACTTGCGTGTTTCTGGGGTTGTCAGTGTCGGGCTGTTGGGCAGTCCGCCTTCGTCAAGCTCACGAGAGCACGCACAATCTCGGCAAAATCCAGGACATCTGCTGGCACAGAATGCCATATGCTGCGATAGTTCCGAACCAGACTTTCCACTTGGTGCTCGGGCATGTCTGGTGGAATTCTCCCTCTCCACCGGCCTTCCATTTCCTTAAACGACAGTTTGGCCCTTAGGGTAAACCATGGCGCTTCCTCACCGCCGTAGTTATTGCATAGAAGGACCTTCGGAATCTGCGAAGGCTCCGCCCGCTCCCAGAAATCCAGGAGGAGTTCCTCATAAAACCCCAGAGGCCTTTGCGTCATCCCTGAGCTTTTCAGATTTCCCTCAAGGCTTGCCAGTTTGGGGGGGCTGAAGCATCCGCAAAATACAAAACGTCTGGAGGCGGGAAGCCCAAAAAATTCCTCAACTCCTCGGCGTTATAGTGGACCGACTTAGGGAGTCTTCTAATGTGGTGCTGGATGAAGCACATTGGGTCAACTTTTCTTGAAAGTGCTTCGTTGAGCAGGACGGTCAGGGTAGACTTGCCTGTGCCAGCAGCAAGGGCTACCAAGGTTGTTCTCTGCGACAGTGCTGCAAACCTCTTGCTCAATCTCTTGTGACGGACCCAAGCGCCGTCGTTTGAAGCTGCTGCCTCGGGCATTGGGTATCTCTGAATGACCCACTTGGCAGGCTTTACACGCCCTTTTTCATGTTTCGCTATCCATTTGACGTGTCCGAAGCACGGTTAAAGTTAAAGTTTATGGGTTTAGGGTTTGGGGCATGTCTCTGCCTAGAGTACGTTGCCCAAAGACAGCGGGGGCAGGGCTGCCAAAACTTCACCTGCGAAAGCTGGAGAGGGTCTCGAGTCCTCGTGACCAGGGAAGAACTATATACTCGTAGTCTTAGTATAGCAAAAAGATCTGGGCTGGGGTCGTCACCTTACTCGACGGAATGCGCAGCCATCAAAATCTCTGCGGACTCAAAGCAAGGGCCGCCGAGCATCGAGCTATAAGGGTAAGACTTGTATAAGGGCTTTTAATTTCAATCAGGGTACTTATGACCCGACTTCCTAAGTCCGACGGTCCTTGGCTACACTGGAGCAGCCCCGGTCTTGACTGCCAAAGCAAGAACTGCTGCGACTAAGACGGCGGATGACAGACCTGCCTTCATTCCACAGACCCAGGGGAATGCTGAAGATCTGAGTGAGTCAACCTACCACGATATCCACGACTGCCGCAGCATCTGTCGCTTTTTGGACTCCTGCGAAGTGCCGAGTGCGGAAGGACGATGCATCATCCACCGTGAGTGGTGAACCCAATCACAGCGCACACTCTCTCAAGTGCTCCGAAACGAGCAGCTACCTCTGCTTCCGCAGAGGCTTCGGCCCTCCGTGTGTAAAGCTGTCAGTGTACTGCTATGCTAGCACAAGTGTTGAGGCACATCCCTGCATGGCCGAAACAAGAAAAGCAGCAAGGCTGCACAATCTTGTCCGGCTCATTTTGCTTCTTGCAGGCTGCTCAATGTACCTGCATGTTTCTCCTGCGGCTGCATCTTCATCTCCTGCGAGCTCAAAACACGGTTGTTGCTGGAAGGAATCGTTAGCCTGTGAGGCCTGCTGTCGTCGCCAAGCGAACCAGTGCCTGTACAATGTCAGAATAGCTTAGGACATCTCCTGTCAGATCGTGCCACGCCCGGCGCTGGCGCCGAAGAACACGCTCCACTTGGTCATCGGGCATATCTGGCGCAATTCTGCCTCTCCATCGTCTCTCCGTTTCCTTACACGGCAGTTTGGCTCTAAGAGTAAACCATGGCGCTTCCTCACCTCCGTAGTTATTGCATAAGAGGACCTTCGGAATCTGCGAAGGCTGGGCCTGTTCCCAAAAATCCAATATGAGTTCCTCGTATGCTCCCAGGGGCCTGTACCCTGTCTTCTCAGTCATCAGCCTGAGATTCTCAACACGGCTTCTCCAGTACGGATCAGGCGAATCATGGACAGAATCAGCATCCGCAAAATACAGCACCTCTGGAGGCAGGAATCCCAAAAACTCCCTCAACCCCTCGGCATTGTAGTGAACCGACCGAGGCAATCTTTCCAAATGGTACTCGACAAAGCGCATCGGGTCTACTTTTCTCGCAAGTGCTTCGTTGAGCAGGGCTGTCAGCGTAGACTTGCCTGTGCCGGGAGCTAGCGCCACCAAGTTTGTTCTCTTCGACAGTGTTGCGAACCTCTTGCTCAATCTGTCGTGTCTCGCCTGCGCTTCCCAAGCTGCTGTCTGCGGCGAGACCTCTTTCAACATGACCGCCCGAGTCTATCAGTAGCACTGTCACTGTCATTCTGCCAAGGCCGGAGAATCCCCATCAACCGCCTCGGTGATAGTACCTGTCGGACTGGCTCGAGGCCTTGAGGCAAATGGGACGCTGATGACAAAAACGAAACACAATTATTGGTCGCCGCTCCGGAACGGTGCAAGTTCTGGCTTCCGCACTCCATCCCCCGTGTCTCCTCTGAAAGAAAGCATTACGGGAAGCTGTCAGTGTACTGCTATGCTAGCACAAGTGTTGAGGCACATCCCTGCATGGCCGAAACAAGAAAAGCAGCAAGGCTGCACAATCTTGTCCGGCTCATTTTGCTTCTTGCAGGCTGCCCAATGTACCTGCATGTTTCTCCTGCGGCTGCATCTTCATCTCCTGCGAGCTCAAAACACGGTTGTTGCTGGAAGGAATCGTTAGCCTGTGAGGCCTGCTGTCGTCGCCAAGCGAACCAGTGCCTGTACAATGTCAGAATAGCTTAGGACATCTCCTGTCAGATCGTGCCACGCCCGGCGCTGGCGCCGAAGAACACGCTCCACTTGGTCATCGGGCATATCTGGCGCAATTCTGCCTCTCCATCGTCTCTCCGTTTCCTTACACGGCAGTTTGGCTCTAAGGGTAAACCATGGCGCTTCCTCACCTCCGTAGTTATTGCATAAGAGGACCTTCGGAATCTGCGAAGGCTGGGCCTGTTCCCAAAAATCCAATATGAGTTCCTCGTATGCTCCCAGGGGCCTGTACCCTGTCTTCTCAGTCATCAGCCTGAGATTCTCAACACGGCTTCTCCAGTACGGATCAGGCGAATCATGGACAGAATCAGCATCCGCAAAATACAGCACCTCTGGAGGCAGGAATCCCAAAAACTCCCTCAACCCCTCGGCATTGTAGTGAACCGACCGAGGCAATCTTTCCAAATGGTACTCGACAAAGCGCATCGGGTCTACTTTTCTCGCAAGTGCTTCGTTGAGCAGGGCTGTCAGCGTAGACTTGCCTGTGCCGGGAGCTAGCGCCACCAAGTTTGTTCTCTTCGACAGTGCTGCGAACCTCTTGCTCAATCTGTCGTGTCTTGCTTGTGGGTTGTCGTCATTTGAAGCTGCTGTCTCTGGCGCTGGGTATGTCAGAACGACCCACTTAACAGGCGTTGAACTCTATTTTGATTTTCAATTTGTCTGAAGCACCCGCTGCAAGGGACCGACTTCACAAATCTGCTGCCATTAGCTACCCAAAGACTGCACCATTCAACTCAAAGTCGCTTAGGTCTTCTTGAACATGGTCTTCAACATGAAACCGGGCTGGGAAAGCCTTCTGGCAAGAGCAGAACTACTCTTCGTCTGCCTCTCCGCTTGGGGTTATTGTCGCCGTCACTTTCCTGCAACTTCCTGCCCAAGGAACCGATGGCTGGAAGATGGGGTTACCCACGACCACGTCGACTGAATGCGCTGCCATCAAAGCGGCAAACCGTATGACGGACTCAGAGCGTGCGGAGCCACGCGGAGGACACGCGGCCTGCACCGGAGCATTTACAGCCAAAGCAACGAGCGCTTCAAATAAAGATGTGTCTGACAAACTTGTATTCAAGCCAAGCACCCACGGAACATCTGGCTGAATCAGCCCACACCGATTCTGCCCAGAGCGCCATTCAGACTTCTCAAATCGTCACGGCTCCTATGCTTGGGAGGCTGCCTTACACAGACGGAATTTGCACCTGCTGTCCGGACCCCTAGAGATACCTGCAGATATACGCAGATACTCCGGGCCGTCAGTCCTGTAAGCTAGCTCCCGCAGTCTGTTTAACCCCTTCTTCCACGTGCTCGGACCTGAGTATTTAGCTTTTCCGGTCTTGGGGTAAAGCCAAACGCCGACACCGAACTTGTCAGGGCCGCTGGGGCATTACTCAAACGGGCTCTTGTTAGGCGGCAAGTGGATGAGACCTTGAGCTCCATGACTCCATGCCCTCGTTTGAGATCACCGCCCCAACAGGAATTTGGCTTCAGGACCCTTTTAAACCCTGACCCCCAAACAAGGGTTGCACAAATGGCGGATTTGACCCTCGAACCTTTCGCTTCCGTCCCTGCCAGGTTCGAGAACGAAGGCTTGGGAAACGGAAAGCTGCGTAGCGTCTTGGCTTTACCTTCACCCCAAGTAACCTACCTTTTTAAGGACCTATATAAAGAAATCATTTTAGGCAGACGCACAGGCAAGATGCATGCATTCACGGGTCTCTCGCATGCGACAGCTGAGCCTGATGCGGCACGGGAGGTCAGTGAAAGAAAGCCCCTAAACGGTTTAGGGTTTAGCCGGCCCCTGGGACCCGAGGTTGCATGCAAAGAGGGAAAACACAGAGAGCCCGGAATTTTGGGCGCTTGGATGCTCTCCTAAATTTGAAGCACGATTGCACGCGACTGGTATGCACAGGGCACACTCGAGGGTTCTGGGAAGGCCTCCAACCGCACTCAATGCATCTTGAGCCGATCTCACAGCTTGGATCCAAGCCTTCTGGCGATGGCAAGTTGACAATTCCAGGCCTGAGGTGCATGCAAAGGCCAAGGCGACATGTCTTCTGAGCCAGCTTCGCAGCTGCCTTGTCCGCATTTGACGGTCTCACTGGCCCCGAAGCCAAAGCACAAGTGCGAAGACGTGGCCGGCATGAACGTTTCACGTGTGCCTCAAGCTTTGAGGGTGCGAGACGCGCAAGGCGCACGCTGTGGGTTTGAGAACTGCAAGTCGTCTATTCACATTCGACCACTGAGCACCGGCTTGTCTCCAAACGGCAGCTGATTCGATTCAACTCTTGTCGGCTCACGCCCTCTTGAAAACGCGTGCGATCTATTCGGCTCGATGCCGCCTTTGCGAGGATAAGCAAAAGCCACAACATAGTCGGCAAGGTTCGCACGTGCACGGCAGCTGGCAGAAGCATAGCAACACTCAGACCATGCAACGGTACATCTGCTAAAGTCTACCGGTTGACTTACTCCTGCTCTTGGGTAGCGTCCTGAAAGTATAGCCACTGGATGAGGCAGGTATTACAGATTAGGCCCAAGCTTTCTGGCGATGGCAAGTTGACAATTCCAGGCCTGAGGTGCATGCAAAGGCAAGGGTGACATGTCCCCTGCGAAAGCTTCTCAGTGCATGGTCCTGCTAAGCTCGGCTAGTCAAAAGCGAGCACTCCCCGTGTCGAAAGTAAGCACTGGCGCTGTACGGCTACACCGACAGCCTTGCCAAGAACACACAAAGAAGCAGTGCGACCGCTTCGGGGAGTCATGCAAGCGCGGCAGCGGTAGCAAGATACAGCACATACACATTGCCAAAATCCATATGTGGGCGTCCGAAGAAATGCTTGATGTGACTAAGAAAGACTCCCAGTCGTAAGCTGGCCCTAAACCGCAGAAGCCTCAGTCAACGATTGCTGGTCACTGGCCAGGGGCTGCTTCTTGCAAGGCACAAACATCAACCAGAAGCATCCGGCGAGGTCGCTGCAACCATCGCATTGTGACAACACCGAGCTGCATTGAGCTACACCGGCACGGCAACGCTCGAACGAGGGACCTGCAGCATCAAAAATATGCGGGCATCAGCCCAGGACGAAGCCTCGGTACTGCAGCATGAAAGCGAGACTGTTGCTGCGTCGTCAATGCATGAGGTGCACGGCTGGGTCCGTTCGCCAGACGACAGCTGAAATAAAGCAACTCTTGTCGGCTCACGCCCTCTTGAAAACGCGTGCGATCTATTCGGCTCGATGCCGCCTTTGCGAGGATAAGCAAAAGCCACAACATAGTCGGCAAGGTTTGCACGTGCACGGCAGCTGGCAGAAGCGTAGCAACACTCAGACCATGCAACGGTACATCTGCCAAAGTCTACCGGTTGACTTACTCCTGCTCTCGGGTAGCGTCCTGAAAGCATAGCCACTGGATGGCGCAGGTATTACAGATTAGGCCCAAGCGTTCTGGCGATGGCAAGTTGACAATTCCAGGCCTGAGGTGCACGCAAAGGCAAGGGTGACATGTCCCAGGTGCCTGCAGCACCAGTGACCTGCGTGTGCCAGTCTTAGAATTCCTTTTCGGGTGCGGGTACCCATTCAAGCAGCCCTTCGTATGAGAGTAAGAATATAGGGGTGTCTAAGGTTACGACGGCAATGCAATAATGACAGACCCGGACTGCCTCGCGAACTTGCGAGATGTCTTGACCTTGGATGAAGCCCTTTCACTAGCATCTCGCCTGGAGAAAATGAAACTTCCGGCAAAGCAACCCTAAACCCTAAACCCTAAACCCTAAACCCTAAACCCGAAACTCTGAGACTGCGTTTCTCATAGACCGGCTGGCGATACGCGGCCCTCCGGCCGCGACTTCCCACCTTCGTGGCTTCCCAGTCCACTTTGAACCCAGGTTTTAACTGCCTGCGCCTGGCAGCTTGCAAGGCGAGGGCCCCGCTGTGGAGGCAGTTTCTTCGAATATCCTCTTCAAAAAACCCTAAACCCTAAACCCTAAAGGAAGCAAGGCACTGAACCCCAGGTGTCCTAAGTGCGAAGCTTTAAGACCCCAGCTCTTAAACCCGGGCCAAAATCCCTAAATCCTACAGACACCCTGCCGTCCACAGGGTCTGATCCCAAATAACCTACCCTTTCAGGGCTCCTTAACTAAACAGTGGTTTTGGGGTTCCCTTGGCTCTTTAGCTCCTTCTTCAATAGGGCTTATCATCATCCCTGGCTCCTTAGCTCCTCCAATATCAAAGGTTCCTTAATATGATTTCCGTACATAAGTCCTTATTAAAGGGATATGTTATTTGGGGCTAACATAGAGCCTGCAACTCTGAACGCAGGCTCTCGCATGCTGAAACCTCTGTACCGCAGCATGAAAGCGAGACTGCTGCTGCGTCGTCAATGCATGAGGTCACGGCTGAGTTCCCTCAACAGTCGGCAGCTGAATCAAAGCAACTCTTGTCGGCTCACGCCCTCTTGAGAACGCGTGCGATCTATTCGGCTCGATGCCC